TTCTTGTAATCATGTTCATTTGAAGATGCTCAATTGCTTCAGAATAAAATTGCCTTCAGGTGAATCAAAGCACAAATAAATGTTTTAAAAAATCATGTATGTTACGTATTACAAATGGAATACACTAACTAAGCAGATCTTAACTTCAGTGTAATTTTTTTTTTCTTCAATTATAAAGAACTTAATACGCGTGTGTTTCTCTTCCAGGAGGCTTTATAAATGCCAATAAATAAAGCATGGTGAGACCATTTGTTTCAGGATGCTGTAAATCAGCTTCATTTATACAGTAAGATAAAAGAGTTTGAGGGGAGAAATATAAAACCAAGCAAATGTATTGAAGAACTTCAGAGTTCTTCATTAAGGTCTTTTGGAGAGAAGAAGAAAATCTCCAGAGGGCAGGACGTAAGAGGCTTTGGTTCTTAAATACTAGGATGTCTGTTGAACTGTAGTGAAAATCTTCCATGGCTTCGAGGTTTCTAGGGCTTGTTCTAAAATTACATTAGTGTGTTTTGTTCTTTATTGGAGATAAATTGTGTTCCGTGTGCCAGCCAGTGCTTTCCCACTGAAAAGTGTAGAACAAATGCACTGCCTTGATTCTGTTTCTTAAACGATCTCACCCATGGCTATAAGTAACTTTCAGTATTTGTTTTTATTGAAAGATTTATGAAAATATTTTTTTTCCTCAGATTTTTTTTCTTCTGAGTTTGCTTTGTGCTTGACAACTGTTTTGTATATATTCATTTCACCAGTTTCCTGCATTTAAGTATGTGACTCATGTAGTCTATCCTGTTAATTGTGTGGGTCTTTCACACAGGGGGTGGGGGGAAGTCCCTTTAGAATTTGAGCAGTTGCAGTATTGAAAATTTTCCTTAACTCAGTTGCTTTCATTTGTTTTTTCAGAGAGAAAGGAGAGTGGTCCTTCTACATTTGGTCTAACAGGCTGTTGCTAGTCTTCAGTGGTAAAGAAGCAGAACTGTAGTAGGGAATACATATAGCAAACTTGGTATAAGGGAAAAAATAAGGGTTCTTCTCTAGTTTCTTTATCATGAATGCAGGTCATCCTGTGTCATGCATTCCATGCAAAGAAAAGGATGTAGCTGATTGGTCTTTGTAATTATTACTATAGAATAATGCATTCTGCTTGTTTTAAGTTAAGCTTTCTTGCATTAAACCAGTTAGTCACAGTCATATGATACACAGTTTTTGACATTATGTGATAAATATAGAAAGAATGTATTTTGTTTTTTATCAAGCATGAGTTCCCAGCCTGTGTTTTCTTATTCCTTCTTATTCATATTCTTGACACATTTTGCACTAATAGTTACTTATAAGACAGGCTACTTGGAAAATGTGGATATGATTGAGTGACAAAGCTGAAGAGACTGAACAGAAGGTACTTGCTTTGTAAGTATTTCACATTATCGTGTGCCTCATGAAAGCTTCATAATGTTAAGCTTTGATGTCCTGTTTCTGACAGTTTTGATGACTTGATTGTAAAAGCTCAAGAATGATTTTTCAATTAGCTTAATCTGACATAATTGTAAATTGAATTGTAATCTGGGAACAGTTGTAACTGGAATAAAGTTAAATTCTTAATTTGCCATCTACTTGAAGAAAAAACAACCCTTAGCTTAAAATGGAGAAACATTGCTAGTATACTGCAGAAGTAACAAGGATAACAGCTTTGTGCATTCTTTCAGAGATCTTTGAGATAGCCATACATTAAAACTGAAGTAGCCATTGTGTCAGTGTATCTGCATCAATGTTTAAAAAGATAAATATATGTGCCATACATATGGCAGTGCTAGCAGTAAAGCTTAAGGAATTAAAAATATTGTTCGTTTTATTTCTGCTCTGTTTCTCCCGCCCAGTAAAATTTATAGTTGGTTTCCTTATATGCATGTGACTTTCAGGTGGAAAGCTTCTATCTAGCATTCTTAGAAATAACATACAAGGATTAGGAGCTTATTTTTGTTATTTTGGTTTGTGTCATTATATCTTACTGAATTTATTTGCAGCCCTGCAGAGCTTAAATATGAAAGCCAATCCAGAATAAAGATAAAGGAACAGACAACTGCTGGCTTCTTATTTAAGTAGGAACAAACAATTTGTATAGAGCATGTCGTTTACAGCAGTAGCAGTGTTGAGTCTTGAGCTGTTACATTTGTCTGAAGCTTGTAGAGCAGTATGGTGTTCTAAAATTCAGTGTCTGAAAGCATCACATATCTTAACTCTTGAAATACGTTTTATGGAAACTAATGATTGGAGTACATCATCAGTGTTAAGTATGCAAGAAATGTCTTTTGTTTGCTGATTTGTATTAGATCTGTTGCAGTGCTAATTTAGATTAATTTGTTCCACATCATGAGTTCAGCCATGCTGCTAAAAGTCTCGTACATCTTGCCAAGTAGAAGAAAATTGAATCATGTAATTAAAGGCTTATTTTTCTTGTCGGAAATAGTAATGAGAAGATAACTGTTAATTGTTTCTCACTTTAAAAAGGGCATTTATCATTCACTAAGAGCCCATACTAAGTAATTTGGGGGTCACTCTGTCCCTTCTTATTGAGTTTGTGTTATTGCTGATTAAATCTGATTTCTGTTAAGTATTCACAGATGTTGTACATCATCCTTGATCTCTGACAGTAGATTAATCTTTTTTCCACCCTTGTGTTAAGATTCCCATTGGACATCATCTCACAGATTTTAACATTGATATCATCTGCACTCAAGTTTCTGGCAGCCTGCTCCAAACTGCCGTTGGAAAGGTTACTGTCTCTGGGTCTGTGATGGTCAGCTAATAACTGTTAGCATGAATGTTCACACTAACACACACACACACACACACACACACACACAAAAGCACCACTTCCCAGGCCTCTTAAACAAGGAAGCTGAGAACACCCTTTTTCTCTGTAGCCATTTTGATTTGAGGTCTTCCACACTGTTGTTTCTTTGTTTTTTCTTCTTCTCATTGGGAACCATACACAAATGTTTCATCCTCTGAAGAAATGTGATGTAGTTACCTTGCTGCTGATAGCACCCAGGTATATGGAATATTACACTTGAAAATGCCTCTTTTGAAATCCTATTTCTGCCAGTTCTGTTTCATTCCTATTCCTATCAATGAGAATTTAGACTATTCATAGATGTAAATTCTAAGAAATATTCCAGTACTACAGTTGATGTGACTCTTGTGGTTCCAGAAACCGAGTGTGAGTGCTTCCCTATCACCTAATTGTCTGTCAGATGTATGCATGTAGATGTGCAGTTCGGGGCTGAAGATGAAGAGACACCTGAAGTGGCTAGAAGCTACAGAGAGGCAGGTTCACACCAAGTCAAGAGTTCAAGGGGAAAAAAGGAGGGAAAGGAGTCATTACAGATTGCTCTTTTTGCTGCATTTCTGTTGTCAATTATTAGTTGGACTAGAAAATTACGGCAGCAGTCAAAAAGAATGCAGTAAGGTAGTAATATAGTCCCAGAAGGCTTGTTTGTGATAAACTGAAAGTAAATTAGTCTGATAAGTGTAATGAGCTTGCATGTTAATCAAATTTCATGTTGGTTACCTTGGCAAATTCAAAACCATTAATTACGCTCATAATAAGATCCAAGAACGATTCCTATTTTAAAGATACAGTATCTGTTACTGGGGATCAAAGCCTTTCGACATTTAAAAAAAAAAAAAAAAGAAAGAAATTTGGCATCTGGAGCCTGAAGGAACTTGGCTGAGTACACAAATGAGGGAGCTTCATAGCTAAGATTATGTCTTCTAAACCTGGTTTCTGATCACCGGTGGCAAGAGCTGCACAAAGTTCTGTAGTGGTGTTCTGGTTTGCTTTGGAGGGGGGGATTTTGCCCTAAATTGACACAGAAAGAAGGAGATGATTGTGGTTTCTGACTCAGTAATATGGCCTGAGCTTTGTTTCCTGATCTGTGATCATAAAGAAGGAGTCTCTTGGATCCTCATAATTTGATTTACATTAGGAAAGGCAACTTGCCATTGTCTTAAGTGACAAGCAAGCTTTGGATCGTGTCACATATAGCTTGTCGTGCACATAGGAGTCTTCAGTCATCTATTTCTGGTGTAGCCTATTTTATTAAAGTCTAATTTTTCTTTGGCCAGACTGACCTATGTCAGGACTTCAGCCTCCTGCTCTGCAGAAACATAAGAGGCGTATTCTCTTAAATATTTTACGGTAGTTGGCAAGTACAGTCGAGTCGCTGATGAGGAGTCAACGTATTTCACAAAGGTGTGAAAGCAAGTTCAACTGACAAGTGAGCAGGACAACAGATTGCCTGCTTGAAGATGCTATTAATGTGCAGTAGTGAAATGCAGCTGCACTGGTCATGTGGGGCTCCTTTATTGAAGTGTAGCTAATATGTGTCTCTTGCCACAGAAAATTCAGAGGTGAATTGTTTCCTAAGAAAAGTTTTGTTCGCCACCAAAAATAGAAAATATTTTTCTGGGTTTTATTCACCATCCTCACAAAACAAAAAATTATTAATATCATCCAGTATCCAGTATGTGCAGTGTGAATATTGTTTTCTTAGTAAGAAAAATGGATAGCCAAAACCAGGATTTCTTGTGCGTGTATTTTGCATCAAAACCTCAGCTGCACAGACCACAAAATGTTTTTCATTGTGTGTTAAGTCATCTGAGTCAGACCCTGAATTATCTCTAGAAGACTATTTCTAGAATAGTTAAGGTGAAATTATTGTCTGCATTATTAGGAAGTCATGGAAGGGCTGTACTCTGTGTCCCATCTCTTCTTAGGTTCTTCAAAGGCATCTATGCACTGTCATTCAGCAAGCATACAGCATACAGCAAGCTTGCTGTCATTCAGCAAGCAATATCAGTGTACATTTATTCAGTGCTTTTGCTACTGCTGAAGAATGTGAGATGGGCTGGTGTGCTGCTTATCTGTGAAGTACAGCTAGAGAATAAAAGACTTGCTTTTTAACTGTCTAATAACATTTCTCAGGCTCTGAGAAGACCATTTTTTTGTACCACGAAAGCAGTGTTCAGTTCAGTCTTGGTGCTTCATGTGTCTGCAGAACCTGGCATCAGCAGGGATGATTGCATGTATATCAGGTGGGGATTGCAGTGAAAGAAGTTGTATGCATTTCTATACCTGCAGAAGTGTTTGAAAGAGAATAGACCAGAAGTTAAATTTTCCCGTGGCTCAGTCTGGCTTTTAATGCTTACAGTTAACCATTTAGATTAATGAGAGAACCACTGAAAAAGTGTTAGTCTGGTTAATGTAAAAGATTGCAACACTTGAGTTAACTATCATTAGTGGTTTTTGTCAATAACTGACAGAACAGAAATTAAAAGCCATGTTGCTTGTGGCAGTTCAACAAGCACTGAGACACAACAGATTGCTGAGCTCATCAATTGTACGTAGATCACTCTGGAAGCAAGTCTCATTTATTTCTGTGGAAGCTGCAACAGATAAAAGAGCACAAAGGCACTAGTTAATGGAGCAGATTCTCCACTACAAAACTCTAGTTTTCAGCGTGATCACCACCATGAGCTATGTATGTACCAGCTGTGAACAAGAGCCTGCTGTGCTCATAACCATCTGCACCAGGGAGGTGACCCACTTCACCACTGCTGAAATGTACCACCTGTAGCCTCACTGTGCTCACATACACTGTTTGGTCTCCAGAAATGTTCAGGAAGCATCAAAGGATGTGAGTGGGTGCCATTTTTTCCATGTGGAGGAATCGAATAAAACATTTTTGCTTCATTTGCACTTCTATGTCAGACCACATTTTGTTTGACTGCCCCTCTGCTGCTATCTGTCACATAGCAACAAAATGGAACAGGATATTGGAGGAAGGTTCAACCTCTACTGCCGTACCACCAACATCCACATCAGATGTTGTGGACAAACATAATAAAATAGGAGGCATTACTTTTGGAGCAGCCATTGTATCTGGGGACAAACGGCTTAGGCAAATTGTTGCACTTGTTAATGAAGTAAATCTGAAATGTACTGTACCAGTAACGAAGAATGTTATTCTGTCTCCCTTAGTGCAAAGGGAAGCTAGATCTTCTGAGAGCTGTCTGGATACACTTCAAATACCAACCCATATCGTCAAGGTAAGGGAAATTCTTGTGGTACTTCGACGTGGTTAACTCTAAGTTTTCCATTTGTAATATAAATATTGTATTTCACTCCATGGTGTTTCATGAAGGAGACATAAGATAGATTGAATTGCAACATAGCCTGGTTTGTGCATAAACCAAAAAGGTTTTACACAGATCTGAGGCAGATAGATAATCACAGAATCACAGAATTGTAGGGGTTGGAAGGGACCTCCAGAGATCATCGAGTCCAACCCCCCTGCCAAAGCAGGTTCCCTACAGTAGGTTGCACAGGTAGGCATCCAGGCAGGTCTTGAACATCTCCAGAGAAGGAGACTCCACCACCTCCCTGGGCAGCCTGTTCCAGTGCTCCGTCACCTCACTGTAAAGAAGTTCTTGCGCATGTTTGTGCGGAACTTCCTATGCTGCAGTTTCCAGCCGTTTCCCCTTGTCCTGTTTCCACTCATCTCTGAAAACAGTCTGGCCTCACCATTCTGCCCCCCACACCTTAGATATTTATAGACCTGGATCAGGTCCCCTCTCAGTCTTCTTTTCTCAAGGCTGAACAGACCCAGTTCACTCAGCCTTTCTTCATAGCAGAGATGCTCCAGGCCCTTCACCATCTTCGTGGCCCTCCGCTGGACTCTTTCCAAGAGATCCTTGTCTTTTTTGTACTGGGGAGCCCAGAACTGGACGCAGTACTCCAGATGAGGTCTTACCAGGGCAGAGTAGAGGGGGAGGATCACCTCCCTCGACCTGCTGGACACGCTCTTTTTAATGCACCCCAGTAAGCCATTGGCCTTTTTGGCCACAAGGGCAAATGTTTCTTTAGTATGTCATAATGTTTCTTTAATGTCGTTATCCATCACTCCTGCACAGCCGTGTCATATCTAATGTTTTTCGATGGAATATTTAGTAGTCCAAGCAGTCAGGGAAAAGCAGCATGTAGCAGGCTTGAAATGGTGTGTATTTTGTTGTTGAGCAGCTTCTTGAGGAGGCTGTTGTATCAAGTGAGCAAAGTCAGGTGGTTGACCCTGACCTAACAAAAGCGAACTAGTGTTGGCTCCTGACTCCCTAGAACGGGAAAACACTGTTAAATATAATCCACTGAGAACAGGAAGCTGAGAGTAATAATACTTCAAATCTAAGGTTTTGTAAACTAGCATGTACTTAGCTTCGTGCTCCCTAAGGTTCTGAGAACTCGACCTTTGTATGTTGCCCAGAGAGTCAGTTCAGGGAGCAATGCTGCAGAATCCAATGTTAAACTTGCCAGATGCAACTGGACTAATACAACGAAATAAATGTAACCTGATTTTTACAGCTAGGTACCCTGAATCCACATGGCTCTTGAACAATATTACCAATGAAATTAATTTTAGCTTGAGCAACAAAGTGGCAACTGGCTATAATTAGTATAACAGCAAAAGAAAATGGAAGTTTTGAGTAGGTAAGTCCAGTTGGATAAGAATGTTGGTTCTTAAATGGAAATATCTAGAAAAGATTACATTTGTAGATATTATTTCTCAAGAGAGTTAGTAATGGAGTGATCCTGGACATTTTCTGGTGCTTGTAGGAAGGGGAATGAAGGATTCAGCCTTCACTTAATCATGAGAGGAATGAACCACGTGAAATACTGGTTGTAAAACTGACTTTTATTAGAAATATTTGTCTCCGATAGCAGTTTTCATAAATTTTATAAGATATTGAAGTGCTGTATCTTGAGTCAGTCTTCAGTTTTGTAATGAGAGAGTGTTCCCAGAATCACAAGCAAATCAATGAGTTGTTTCTGATTCATCCGTATATTTAAGTTTACATGCCATACCACAGAACTAATGCTAATATGTACCAGAAGTAAATATATAGTAAAGAAAGTGGCTTGAGTGGTAGATTACAGCACTGAAAAATACCAAAACTGAAGCTTTTTCTGGAAATACAATTGGAAAATATTTAGACTGTGCTTCACTTTGTATGCTGCAGTAATATGTGCCAACAAAAACGTAGGCAAACAGAGGATTGCCTTATTTTTGACAACAGGAGCAGGAATAGATGTATTTAGCAGTTTTCAGTTAACTTAGGGGAGGCTTATTATGAAACTAAAAAAAATTTGAGCACAGGATTCTAAATAAAATGAATGAGTCATAGCTAGGCTTGCCAGATCTGCCTGGACCCAAACCTAGACTCTGAATAGTACACTGTCTGCACAGTACTCAGGACCAAGGACCTACAAAGTGCCACTTGCAGGCAAAGATCTTGTAGGTGGTGCCTCTGTCTTCAGTAGGTTGTGATAGAACAGTGATTATGGTGTGCTGCCCCAGATCTGCTCCCTAAACTGGGGAATCAAGGCACTTTAGCTGTGATGTTTGTCTGAACTCAGTCAGTGGACCCGATCAAATGCTTAGCAGCATCCTGATGCCTGCACTGCCCTGGCTGAACTGACTGAATTGAGCCTGTAACTCCTAAGAAGAGTCTTACTTATACTCTGTTGTAGTGATGTTGTCTTTGTGCTTGGCCCACAGTTATACATTTGACTACTACTAAGTGCCAAAGAGAAGATGGATTTAGTGCTGAGAAGTTCCACTTCTCTAAAACTTATCTCAGACCACAGAGTTTGAATTTTGAGTGGTCTTGTGTGGAGGCAGGAATTGGGCTTGATGATCCTCGTGGATACCTTTCAACTCAGATTCTGTAATTCCAGCTGTAAGAGATAATCTCCAGGCATAGCCATCTCACCAGAAACTATGGGTGGGCTATCCAGAACCAAGTATACTCCTCTGGTGAGGAGCTTCGCTGACATATACTTGTTAATGAGCAGCATATTAGAGATCAGGCCTACTCTACTGAAATCTTTTTGTTCTAATGGAATCAGAAGCACTAACAGTTTCAAGGTTGTTATTGTAGACAGCGTGTGTTTATGCGATACCACACTGCAGTTTAATTAGAAGGTTTCTTTAGCATCATCTGACAAGGAATTTTGGAATGTCCTTCGGAAATCTCAGTAAATTATTTTGCCTCACTCTCTCATCTGTTTACTCATCAACTGTTTCAGAAAGGTCCAGGGGATTTGTGAAATGTGGCTTCCTGTTACAATTGTCACAATAACTTTTGCTCAGCTTACATAGGCTTGTGTTCAATATTTCTCTTTTTAATTATAATTTAGTACCAGTATGCCTGATGGATTTACCATTCTGTATTTTATTAAGCACTTAATGGAAGTCTGTTGAATACAGTATTTTACTTGGTATCTTTTGTTCTTGTAGGATAGGGGAGCTTTTATGAGTGTTACACTTATGGCAGGCAATTCACCGATTACGTACATACAGATCTGTTACAGCACTTAATTTCTAATGTCAAGTGAGCTCTGATGAATTGTTAGTCTACATTTTGTTGATTTGTTCTACAGTCTCTTCCACTGGCACTTCAATTTATGTAAGTTCTCCAAAATATCATCTCTTTTTCTTTCTCTCTCCCTTTTTTTTTTTTTATTCCACAATGAGAACCTCCTGAGATTTCTTTAGCAAACACAGATAAAGAAAAATTATTTAATTTTCTTCTGTGATTTTATCTTTCCTGAGTGCTATTTTTATACCTCGTTCATTTGCTGGCTTTGCAAACTCTTTGGCAATTTTCCTGCTCTTGGTGTGTCTGAAAAATAATTTATTATTAGCTTTTATGTCTCTTACAGTTTGTTTCTCAATTTATTGGCCTGCTTTTCCATGCTTTTTACATTCAACCTGTCAGTGTTCTTGTTCCTTTCTATTTTCATGCGGCACAAATCCAGCTTCTTGATTTTTGCTCTAAAACAGTGAACAAAATGGGACTGATTGCTTTATCAGGATCCAGCAGTGGGGTCTGTTAGTCATGCAAGCACCTCAGTAAAGAGAAGAGTCTGGTTCCACCAGTTTTTTGCATGGCTTCTTAAGGTTCTTAGCCTCAGCCGCACCAGGATGGAGTGGAGCTACTCAGAAAAGCTACATTGCTTCTGCAGGGAGAAATGCCAGTCCTGCTGAGTAAGTTGTGCTTTGATAACCAGCACAAGTCAAAGCAAAAGACAATGGCAAAAGAAACAATCTGTACAGTAAATTGCATCCTTTTGCAAGACTTGGTGAGTATTGCAGCACATGCACAGCAGTGCTAGCAGAGTAGAAGCATCCCCTGCTCAGTGGGATTCCTTGCAGAAATGGTACCCACAGAACTCTACATTTCTTCAGTTTCAGAGTCCTCATTGCTGCATGGTGACAAATGAGTTTGAAAACAATTAGGTGTTCCCATTTTCATAGCCAATTTGTTTCCAAATGGTCTACTTAACTCATGAAACCCCAAACTAGCAGGTAAATTATGAAATGGTGTAATCCCTGCTTTGCGAATAGGTAAATTTAAAGAAAAAAAGATACAATTTGTAGCAATGGAGTAGAAAATCACTTTTAAGGAAAAAAAAAAAAAACAAAACAAACAAACAACAACAAAAAAAACCACGAAAAAACAAAAAACCAAACACTCTCTTTTATTATACATCTGACCTAGGAGACTACTTACTACAAAACAAAATCCAAAATGACTGACGAAAGTTTTAAAATGTCTTCTTAAATCATTGGGAAAGCAATTGGGTAAGTACAAAAGTGAGTCAAAAGTAGACCTTTCCTCACACAGAAATGTTCTGCCAGTTCTGTGTTTGTCTAAAGCAGTGATAGATAGTTATCTAACACATAACACCATTGGATAAGGAAAGGATCCAAAAAGTGTAGGCACCTTGTTGATCGTTTTATTGGAATTAATAAAACCAAAGTCTTTGCTTATAGGTACATCTATAAGTGTGAAACGTGTTCAAAAGGGGAATGTTTTCCACTGCCTGAAAAGAGACAAGCTCTGGAAGAGAGGTATGATGTCAAATATTTTTCTGCTCTGGGTTCATCAGCAGGGTTCTGCCAGGTGTCCTTACCAAAATAATGCACTTGAGAACACTCAAACACCCTCTATGGGAGATGGCATTTCCACAGGCTTGTTTGGGTTTGCTCTGAACCTGAAGTGTTTTAATGGAAAATGCAGTAAGTGCTTATTGCCATAGAGGATAATGTCTTGCTGTGGATTAAAATGAATTGCTAAGCAAACTAAAAGAAATATCAAAGAAAAAGGAGAAAGGATGCTCAGCTAAATCTGGGGGAAAAAATACCAAAAATGTTAATTTCATGTGATGGAAATAATGTAGCTGGGAGAGGAGGGAGCACAGGTGAAGCTGAAGCTTTACCAGCATACATGTCCCTGCAGGCAGGGAATGCTTCCAGGACTGTGGAATGCTGAGCTGCTGTCACAAGCTGGCTGTTCTGATGTGAAGCCTGATGCTGTTGGGAACAGATGTGCATCACAGCAAACACACTGGGCATAAGTTAGGAAAGAACTTGAGAAACTGCAAAAAACAGTGCAGTCTTAAGGCATTTAAACATAAAACAAATTGGTCCTGAATATTTCTAAGGGAGACATAGTACATATTTCCAACTGTCTGATCATAATTGGAGACTAATGGCCAATGTATCACAGGCACTTGCAAGGATTGGATGTTGGCTTGCTCATATTGCAAAACAGACTTTAGTCCCAATCCAGAGGTATTAGCAGTTTTATGTTTTTATTTATGGGAGGTCATTCTCAGCTGAAATTGGTCGTAAAGAATTCATGCTTCCTTCTAAAGGGGGCTGGTAAACATCACGAGATTAAAGAGCATTGTTTTCAGCCACGCTGTCCAGAGCATTTGACAGAAATGCAGTGAAGACTACAGCCTAGATAATCTACCTGCCAATCTTATAAAGAACAAACTGGAATGTCTGTCTAGTTTCAGGCAAAATGTGAACTGCAGTTTCTAGAGCTGTACTCAAGCATGAGATTCTAAAGAAAAAAAATGGGCATATCCCAGTGGTGAAACATAGGCCTGAGCGTTGTAACCTCAGATGCCAACATGTTATGGTGAAGCTGTCAGTTCTGAAGGAGATATTCTGTCTTTGTGTACAAGGTGATACTCTATGTGCTTTTAACAGTAATATAGTTTTAAAGGCATAAATGTAGGTCATATAAAGTTCAAAAAATGAAGAATAAAAGAATGAATGTTGTAAGCTGATAAAAATCAACAGTTACACTAAGGAACTTGCTGGGGGTTGTCACATGCACCAAAATTGCTATGAAAGAGCCTGTATTTTTCCTGGAAAAGTTATCAAAAGCTTTTTGTTTGCTTGTTTGCTTTACTTTTAAAAGTACTTTTTACTTTTTTTTACTTTTGGGGGAAAAAAGAAACAAAAGGTAAGCATTTTTCCAAGGAGAAAGAAAAGACTATTTTCTTTCTCCTTGGAAAGCAAGTGAACATCAAACTTGGTCTCGCTAAAGGAAATATACCTGAGGTAGTTTTGTCTTACAGCTGATGTAGTTATTAGGGCATTCGTTTAAGCTGTTTGGGTTTTGTTACATACCTGCTAGGTCCTACTATTCCTTATTTCATGGGATGAATAATATGTTTATAGAGTAATTCAGTCAAGCCCACATTTTGTGTTGCTACACTGCAGAATGGAGCCAGTGGTGCCTGAGTTTTCCATTGATTACTTTTTTATTTAAAATAAATGTGCTGTTATAAACAAGCATCAGAGCAACCAAAGATCAGCAGATACACAAGAAGTTAGATAAGGCAAAACTGAAACACCAGATTATGAGGTCTGATGGAGTTGTCAGAGAATATTTGCAGCAAACATTAAAATGGCACCACACTTATTGCTTCTGGGGAGAAGTGATAGCAGCAGCAGTACTGCATCATACAGTGCTGTCAGCCATAGAGAAAGCCTGCTTCAGACAAATAACACCCCCACAGAGGAGGGAAGGAAGGGATGCTGCACTGGCTCTTTTTTCTATGGGTATCTCACATAGATGGTAGCTTTACTGTATAGAGACAACTGTACCCTCAGAGATGGCAGTGTATCAGCAAATGTTATGTCATCTCCTTCCTAATGACAGCAGTGTAACCTGCAGATCAGTGCAACATGATGGGATATCTCAGAGACTCTATATGTTCTAGTTAGCACCAGCCATGTTTTTAAAGTTACATATTAAGTTAATTTTCACTGTTAATTATAGCCTGTGTTGTATTTGGCTAGGGAAGGAAAATATGGCAGGGAAATATGTTTCTGAGCTTCTAGTCTGAGCCATCTGGATCAGGTTATTATGCTATTCGTGTTATGAGACAGCATTTATTTCAGACACTGGGTGAATCTGACCTCAGCAGACAGCATGACATAATCTATCTTTGAAAAGGAGAGGGAAGACTCCCCAAACACCAAGAGTATTCAACTGCAATTCTGTACCGAGAGGTGGAAGAAACAAGCCTGATACTTTTCATGCAGAATTAGGGCTTGAGACCAAATTTCCCACATGCTCATTGTTATTCAGGTGGCATTAGGGGGAGATGAGTGTATTTCAGATTGCTGCCTGTCACATGTTGTACTGATACATGACAACATCAGAAACTTTCTTATTTAGTTATCTCTGGGAATGCTTTAATCAACCTCCAAAGTCAGATTGATCCCAGCCTGTGAATCTCATCGATGCCTGGCTGATGTCTAAATGCAATTGTTTCTGCAAATGCCCAGCAGTCATACTTTAAGTGTTTTACCAGTTTTTCTGGTAGGAAATTTGGTCCCAGAAGATTTTGTAAAGAAACAAATGAATGTTTTAACCATCTAACATTTGGACATAGGCCCTTAAAGTGTCAGTTATTGGCAAAGTCCTGAATTCAGGTCTGCGGGACGGTAAAAGATGTCTATGACTTGTTATTTTCAGTATGTTTAGGCTTGCACACCTATCGCCACACGTATCTGCATAATTTGACTGCTCTCACAGTTTGACAATGTCCTTGGGAATGTTCAGAGAGGGTGAACTTCTAAAAAAAATTCACAAGAGCTAAGAAACATTTTTGGCTGATACAGTTCTAGAGAAGTAAATGTAATAGCAGAACTTGAAAAGGAGATGAAATGTAGTGAAGGTAGAATATGACTTGTATTTGTGAAGCAGACTTTTTTGTTCAGGAATGCTGAGTGTAATTAACTCTCACTGGGTACTGTGACCTAAATACAGCTTTTGTCTTTGCATTCAGAAGCTGTTTTGTCACATTCTCCAGTGTTGTGGATCACTGTTACTGCAGTGTTCTGCATTACCTATAGGAGCATGGCACAATTCATACATTCCACTTTCTCATCCAAGTAGGGTAGAGTTAAGGGGATACCACGTAACTTATGTGCCCTTTATGTTCATATATTACACCATTTTCAAAATGTATGTCTTAAACATAATTAGAGCTATGGTCTCAACTCTAGCTATGTGCAAAGACCATATTCCATTACTTAACAGAACCCCATTCTGTACTGTGAATTATTCTACACCTCCTCAAGAAGACAAAGTCACTGTAATCTGAACTAGTGGATTTTGGAACATGAGGAAACAGTTGACCGTTGAAATAAGTGTGCTGCTCCATCTGAAGTCTCACCACCATCCTGCACATGGTGAGGATGTCAGCAGGTGGTGTTGAAAGGTACATTGAATAGTACCCGCTTTTACAGGGTGAACAAAAGAATTTTTGTGTACCAAAAATGCTTTTCTTTATGCAACTCTTCTTATCAAAGACAGATATGAGTATGGTTTGGCTACAACTCATTATTTTATGGCAGGTAGTAGCTACCAAAAGGTACTGCAAAAAAATTCACTTAGCCATAACAAATCCTTTTATTTAGGGAAAAAAAAAAAAAAAATCACTACATTATGAACTAACCCAAGATGTGGTTTGGTACTCTTTTTATACTCTGGATTTTATCCACTCCAGCTGCCTTATTGAGAAAAGAAAAATCAAAACATTTGTACCGTATCCCTTCTTAAGGGAGCCCGCTTAGCTGATTGAATCTGGATTTACCTCCCATTTCCAGTACTGGAGCACCTCTTCCAGATGGCTGATGAATCAGAGCTCTTCAGTCTGAGCCAGGAACAGACTTGTGCTGCACCCATGCCGAGATTCTGGCATGCATTAATGATTTTGCCATGGAAAGCGAGAAAACTTCCATGGATCAACAAATGAAGTATTAAGAAGTATATGAAACAAGTTCATCCACAAGTATGGATCATCAGAGCATCTGCTTTGCTGTAGAGATGTTTCTTATAGCTTCCGTGAATTTTCATGCACTTAGAATATAACAAGCATGGTGACTTGTAGGCTTGCTAGCTCTCCAGATCATTGAGCAACTCTGGTCTATGATGGAATGACGACACTTCTGACCGTTAACTTTTGCCTACATGAAAACTCACCCAGTTTTTGCTGATTTTCTGATCCGTGAAAAAAACATGACCAGCTTTGCCAGAATTCTTGTGTGTTTTTTTCTTAAGCCCTGGAGAAATTTATTTAAAATAAATTAATTGGTTCTTGTTGGCCTGCAAATATATTGACACCCTAGGGGAGAGTTTACATTTCCATGCAATGCGAGTGATGTAAGCGAATCACTGAGAGACAAGCTGTCAAAAGCAGCACTGAGTTTCTGGTGCTGTAATTTTTTTGTTTGTTTGTTTGTTAATCATTTGGACAATCACAACCAGCTGGCGAGATATGGAGCTCTTGTTCCATTAGCACCAATGACTTCTGGGTGCTCAGCAGCCCTGAAGCAGCTGAATCTTTGTTTCTTACGCTGTGTATCCACACTTTGAAGCCAGTTTTAGAAAAATCTGTTCTAACTGTTTCTCCATAATAATGGAGAGATGCGACAGAGATTTGATCTTGTCAGACTTTTTAGTTCCTTGGGAATGGAAGATTTTCCCAGATGGAAGCTCTACAGAAGTTCAAAGTATTCATTTTATGTTTACGTCTGCATTTAATTTCTGTGTTTTTCTTTGTGTCTAGGATAATCTTTGCAGCATCTGCTTGCTTACCTCTCACATCTCACAAGTGTTCTGCTTGACCTACCAAAGTTGTGCCCGGGGCAAAGTTGCAAAACACCTGAAAAGGGACTGTATTTCCTTCCTCTTCACTCATAACTAGAGATCTGCAAGATATGTCTTTCCTGAGAAATTTCATTTCAAGACTGCCCCCTTAAGCATGGGGTCAGCCTAAAAAGGACCAGTGTTTGTAGACAAACCATTTGCTTTCCTTTGAACGTTTAATTTGTTTATTCCTGTTTTCAAATAATCCCTAAGGAATATAGTTCCTGTAGCTGTGATTGTCATGAATTCAAGTTATTCACCTCCCAGAGGGTCAGAACTTTCATCGCTATGCCATTGGCACGAAGCAGCGGGTGTTGCATATTCATCGTCCGAGACACCAGCTAGAGGGCCTCAAAAAGTCTGACTTTTTTGTTCTCAGAACAAGGAAAACAATCCCTTCCCTTCTCCAGTCCCCTGATAAGAGTTTCTGTCCAATAACGGTGCTCTCTGCTCTGAGGCACATTTAACTGAGAAGTTTGCAGCGGGAGAGGCTTTCCTTCAAGCTGTTAGTGTTTTATCCTGGCAGGCTCCTCGAGATTGTTGTGAGGAGTCTAGCCAGTTGGTGAGCTTTGTAATCTAAACCAGCTGTCCCAGGCTGAGGCCCCCATTTGCATTGTTTAACATACTTAGAAAATGAAGTGTTCATTTTTAACATTCCTCCTCCAATTGGTTTAATGCTGAATTACAGAAGAGAACTAAGCAAAACCAGGTGCTTTCTCTGTATTCTCTCCAGAGTCTGAGGAGGTACAGACTGCTCCCGATCTTCTCTGTTACTTGCTCTTTCATTCTTTGGACTATAAATGACTGAGGAACTGAAGAGGTACTAGCAGAGGGTAATGTTTGGAAACACTTTCTAGTTATTCATCAGCATAAGCTCTGTTTTTTTCCACCTTTCCCCAACGGTTTTGGACATGCAAGGATTAAAAAGGTAAGTGCTATGCATGAAACTTCTGTACTTACTGAAGGGAAACCTACGTGTGGAAAATATCTGTGGCAAGGATTCGGTACGCCAATCCACTTGCTAAAGCCATTTGCACGGAGACGGGATCTCAATGGTCAGAGGTGGGGAAAGACAAACTGTTATTAAAGCTGCACTCTCTCTGACTATTTTCTTCTTGATGCGTGCTTATATTCTGCACTTTAAGAATCCCAGCATCTGTAGGAGTGCTGAATTGCAACGGCAAATGGGTCCCCTGGCTGCAGTGATTAATTTGAAGCTAATAAGTTACCACTGCAAAAGTTAATTACTACTTTAAAATACTCTGCCTACCAGACAAGCTACTGTCACCAGTTGAATGTAGCACTGACAGGGTGTGCTGCATGTCTGTTAATAACTCTTGAGGGGACATGAGAGCTCAGTAACGGGCAAATCGTGATGCAGACAGAACACATATGAGGCAATAAGGTCACTCTTCACCCCAGGAGGGAAGCATATATTATCCTGTAACAGTGTCTAGACATCTAGAAAAATACGAATTCTGTCTGACTGACTTTACAGTGGGTTTTGTTAATTTGCACTGCTCTGCAATAACGCAAAGTGCAGCCCCAGGTATGCGAGGCAGCTAGGTGTGTTAGTGTTCAGCTACAACCTGTTGTACTTCCTTGCCACATGCAAAGTGAGGGCACAGTCTTTGTATTCTGTGCTACTTTAAAATGACTTCAAAAAGGTTAAAGGAATCAAAAATGAAGTGCAAGTGCAGATGGATAATGTTGTACTTTAACTGTTTTGCGTCAAGGAAAAGTCTGTGTAGAATTTGCTTTTCCTCGTCACTCAGAAGCTGCCAACAGGCACAGCGTTATCTCCACAGCACTATGAACAACCATTTTAGAGTTTGTGTTTACTTTTCAGAGCTTGTGTCTGTCTCCACGCTCGAAGCAAATGTGTTCAAATGTGTCAGTCTCTGTGCATGGTTTTGTCTGAGGCATTTGTAGCTCTTGTTTGGCAGCTCACTTTGCACTGGAAATTGGAGACAGCTCTAAAAGAGAAAGTTGGCAGCTCACTGAAGTAGCAGAACTAAGACTACCTAAAATATCTTGTGATTTCTGTGCTGGTTTGTGGGAAACATATACAACTGCCATTCAGAACTAGAATCCAAGCTATGCAAGGTTTAGGTTTAACTGTATTGGTAAGAAACTTTATATAAGGAAGACTGAAACAAACAGTACATAGAGAAAAATCAATTCTTGCTGACCTTTCCTGGTTTTCTGTCAGTGAATAAATACATAGGGGTGCATGTTAGCTGACTGGAGAACTTCCATGCTCCAGGTGAAGAGTCCTGTGTATAGCCACAGAGCTGTTAGTGAGGGACCCTCCTCTGTCAGTTGCAGCAAAGAGACCCAGCAAGCCCCAGTGGGTGCCGAGGTGATACAGAGGGAGATCTTCACTAAGGATAGCAGCTTCCAGTATCTGATGACCTGGCACAGTGTATGTACTTGCAGAGCAACGTATCACTGAAGACTGGGGAAAAGGACAGAATTGGACCCTAAGAAAATAGCTTAATCTCAAATATAGTCTCCAGGGAATGAAGTGTGGTTTAGCGGTTAGTGCAACTGGCTTGGATTCAGGACCTCCTGCATGTCATCTGCGGCCCTGCCAGTGAGTTGCACGATGAGCTTAGCCATGGCCTGTGCTCTGGTTTACCCATCTGTAAAAAGCGAATAATGTGCATGAAAAAACTTTTTATTGTCAAAAGAAAGGTGCCACAGAGGGGGCAACGATGCTCTATTGAATATTATGCACTTCCTCATCAAACAGCTTCTCCATGGAAATGTCATAAGAAACAAATTAGTTAGTTGACAAGTACAGTCTGATTTTAGTCACAGTTCTATAAAATTGTAGTAAAATTGCTGACTGAGATCTGCATGTGGCTCACAGTTGCATTACTCCCTCTCCAGAGGCCAAATTCATATTAGCAAAAAACTCAGGAATGCACTGAAGTGTCACTAGAGATTAGTTTGTCTGTGTGCAATTAATTCTGTATAATGAGCCTGGTTATCAGAAGGTTTTCAGCCTATTTTCTGTGCACTTTACAGGATACTGACTGCTTTCACACTGATCATCTGCATTTCGAATCCTGGAAAAGCACAGGTGAGAGGTGTACAGAGGGATCTGTGTACTGTTATATAGTGAAGCACTATATGGCATGAGATTTAACTGGCTAGCAGGTGAATAGGAAGCTCTGTGGTCTCGGATTTAAGTGGAAAGGAAGCTGTGTGGTCTAAGGGTTTAGAGGGGAGGTCTGGGAGCCAACGGGATTCTGGAGTTGAGCATGGACTGAGCTTATTGACTCATCCTTGCCAGCTCAGCAAAATATCTCTGTAGAAACCTGGACCTCACTAAAAACCTGATTCTGCTTCTGAACTGAACACTTCTGAAAAACAAAATTAAAGCCATCCCAAGAGAGCAAGGATAGCGCAGTTCTGTGGTGGGGAACACCCATGTTTGGAAAACTTATTCGTGTAAACAGGCATGTTCTGTGCATAGCAGTCTGGCAGACTCTTGTCTTAAGACTTTATTTTTGGACTATGAGCCTGAATGACTGCATCCTAGGTCTTCACTTTAATTTCTGCCCAAAGCCATCTTTGTTCAAGAGGCAGGGTTTTTGAGGGTGAGTGAAAGTAGAGCAGTCCAGTTCTTGAAATAGCAGAAACATTAGTTCTCTTTAGTTCTTTTTGTTCTTGGGCTCCAAGTGGATTTTAAATTAGGAAAAACAGTTCCCAAAGGTATGTTAAGTTTGGATTCCTAGTTGATAATCCAGATATATTCAATGTCCAGGACTGCATTTCTAAATACTCTTGCCAAAAGTCTTTGAAATGTAGTTGTGAGTTTTCTTCTGTTACACAAAATATTTCCTGCACATGGCATCTTTACTGATATTGATGTGGAAAAAAAAAAAAAAAAAAAAAGAAGAAGAAGAATCTTGAGTAGACTCCATCCCTGTGCCTTCTGGTTACATCACTGCTTCCTGTTCTCTGGTTGCCTCCTGCTCACCTTCCTTAGCATAGCCTATTTTACTGGAAGGATCCACTTGTGCTAAGTGTGCGGCCCACTGCTGAATTGCTGGAGGCCCAGTAAAAACAGAGGAGAGCAGGGAATGTTTTTAATGGGTTTTGACAAAAGTTGCCATTACTGTCACTGTTTTAGAAATGCTGAGGGACAATGATTAGGTGCTACAAGTTCCAGCCCTGATGACAACCAGTAGCATAGGATAGGAAGGAATAAGGTTTCCAGTAACCTGGCATGCATAGAATATGTGTTATGTAAAGAATTATCCTCAGAAAATTTAAAGGTTTGGTGTAAACCAAAAGTCTCACTTTTTTTAAAGTTTGTTATGTTTCATCTATGGCTTCCATACAGATCAGGTGGCTAACTTGTTGAGAAGTACTAACTTGTCCACATGTGGCGTTCTAGAATGCGTTAGGGAAGATAGCTAGTGCCATTAAACTGAGCTCCTTTGTTCTAGCAAAAACAAGGCTCCAAAAGTGAAGATCAGTATGGAATGAGTAGCACACCAGATGTTGGTTA